ACAACCCAATGGAAACTCCTTTACTAAATATTCCCCACAAAACTGGGACTCACCCATTTCAGTTTAAAATGTGTCCATTATTACTATACCCTGTCATAGCCAGAGCTACCAACAGGATAGAGTTCTCAATCGCTAGGAAAGGACATCATGGCTGGTAAATGAGAAATTCAGCAAAAATGGAGGAAACCCTCAAAGAAGTGAATTGACGTGACAGCCACCGGAATGGACTCAAACGTACAAATGCTTGTGAAGGTGGTGCAGGATCAGGTAACATTTCATTCTGTTTATACATAAAGTCACCAGGGGTTGGAGCTGACTCAATGGCAACCAACAACCAATGTCAGTAGCTTCTCTCCCCCCTGCAAACTCCTAATAAACGTGACAACCCAAAACACTCTCTCACATATTTCCAAACCCATGGAAGTGAGGGCAAGAGGTAGCACCAACCATTGCTGAAAACCAAAGTTCTAGATTTTGATTTCCCCAAGTTTAGTAATAGCAAGAAAAGAAGGTTGGGTTTTCCAACTATTTCAGAGCTTCTCAAACAGGTTTCTAAACCTTTGTCAAGAGGCAGAAAGCTCCCTTTAGAAGCCAGGCTATTGTAGTGTCTGAAGGGGAGAAACTCTAAGTTGGAATTTAAGTCTAAGAGTCTCAGAGCCAGGAATGGTACTGAGGTGAATTTTTAGCCCTGCCACATTGGTGGCTCAGTGATAGAATTCTCGCCTACACAAGAGGCCCGGGTTCGAGTCCCAGGCAATGTACTTCATGACCAGTCACTGCCATCTGTCAGCGGAGGCTTCTGTGTTGCCGTGACGCTGAACAGGTTTCGGTGCAGCTTCCAGACTACAGAGGAGTTAGAAACAAAGGCCTGGTGATCTTCCAAAGTTCAGCCTCCATAAACCCTAAGGATCATAACTATCAGATCCACAACTGATCATGGGGATATGACAGAACCAGAGAGCGTTCCGTTCCATTCTGCATGAGGTCACCAGGTGATGGGGCTGACACGACAGCAGCTAACATTTCCAGTAGGTGAGCTTATGGTTGGTGACTGCTGAGTTCCGTTTTCTCTTTCATACAAATAAAAGGACCAGATGTGGAGATCCTGGATAGAGTGGGAGGAAAAACATGGAACAAAATCCAAAAACTCAATAATGACCAGAATTACTGGTCTCACTCATAGCAACCCCCGTTGGGTTTCCAAGGCTGTAAATCTTTTACATTAGCAGACTCTTCCATGGAGCAGTTGGTGGGTTTGAACCATTGACCTTTTGGTTAGCAGCCAAATGCCCTACCCACTGTACCTTATGAAAATATGAGGGGAAAAGAAATGCCTAGACAAGATGAGTCACAACATAATGCATTAAAAAGTAAATCTGCACAGAAATGTATTCTAAGGAAATCAGACATATAGCCAAGATGGCCATATACAGATACATTTTGTCTAAGAGTAAGACATTGTGAGGCACAATGCCAAACACTGAGGGATGAGTTAACCAATGACCTTATATACCAGAGAGCTGAATTAAATATTAATCTAAAACCACCTGTAGCTTTAACATTCTTTCATATTTATTCACTAACAAATATGTAGCAAAAATCTGGTAGACACCAGTCACTGTGTTGGGTGCTTTGATATGATGGTGATATAAAATAATAATAATAATAAAAAAAAGCAGCCAGTATCCTAGTAATTCCACTCTAGTTCTACACTCAACAGAAATGCAGACACAAACACAATGAAAGACATGCAAAATTAAGCTCATAGCAGTAATGTCTGATAGTGCCAAACTGGAAACAACCTCAACACCAAACCACAATAGAATAAATAAACAGAAAGTGAAATGTTCTTACAATGTGGAAGCTTTTATGGTGCAATCCCCCAACGTGGAGGTACCGTGGAGGGACATGTAAAGGAACACGGAAGGCAGACACTGCAGAGAGAACCCACTGAGTGTGCTCTACACCCAGGATTTTCAGAAAACCTCTAAATGACTCAAGAATTTGTAAATTCCATCGTAATTCAAGAAATTGCCCCGATGGCCAAGTCAACTTCTCCAGGTCAGACCACCCATGACCTTGATGGTAAATTCCATCCCATCAGTGAACCCAAGAAAAGTCGGAAGTGGGTTCCCCACCCCTTTGCTCTTTCTTTTACAAATCTGGTTTTTTTTTTTTAATTGACAACAGTGAACAGTCAAAAGCCCCTCTCCCTCATATATGTACTATACAGTGCAGAGAACTCGGTCTCTGAGCTATCTCTTTGATGAATGGGATAAAATGGAAGAACTATTACTGTAGACAATATATATAAGTCTCACAAATACAATGTTGAGCAAAAGAAGCCCAACAAAAAGAATGCATATGGTATGATTCCCTTTATAAAATGTTCTAAAACAGGCAAAACAAATTTATGGCATTAGAAGTCAAAATAATACTTACTCTGGGAAGAAGTGAAATAGTAACAATTGGGGCAGAGGCAGATTTCTGGACCTTTCTCTTTCTTTTCTGGGTGATAGTTACATGAGTTCGTTTACTTTATAATTCATCGGATGTACACTTGTGTGGTAGTTAAGTTGTGTGTCAACTTGGTTTTGAGTGGCTGGGCAGCTGGATGTAGTATTCTCCATAATGACACTGGTAATCAGCTCCAAGGTGGGATCTACTGGAGCAGTTGAGCAGGTGCCTTAGGGATGCGGTCTGCTTCCGGTGTATAGGGAGAGGTTTGAGAAATGTCTCTGTGCTTTTTGGCACGCTTAGACCCTGCATGTAGCCAAATTGTTCAGCAGCCTGCCATGTTGTCTGCTGATGTTGGGACTATTAATGGACTTAAATTAGTGGCCTGCCATGTTGCTTGATAATTTTGGGACTATGCCATTTTACTTGCCAATCTTAGGTTTGTCAGCCTCAGCAGCCAGCAGCTGTCTGAGTTAAGAAACGCCTCCAGCTCCAGTGGGCCAGGGGCAAGAGGTAGAGCTGAAGCCCAAGGTCAAGGGGCTTCCACCCAGCCCCTAAAGCAGGCACTCTGAACTTGGACTTTTAGCCTCCTAAACTGTAAGAGAATAAATCTCTGTGAAAACCACCTATTTGTGGTATTTTCTGTTAGAGCAGCACTGGAGAACCAAAACAACTTGTGATTAGTGTACTGACTGTATATATACTATACTTTAATAATAAAAAAAGTTTATTTAAAAAACTAAACCAGGAGCTAACAGGAAACAAGAGAATTAAGAGTACTTAGAATGAGTTACAATCTTCTGATTGAAGGAGTAGAGGCTAAAGACACACATACACACCCCCCCAACACATGCACACATCACACACACACATACACGCTTCATACCCAACACATCACACACACAAACACTACACACATATACATCACACACATACATCAAACACCACAAATACACCATATATACTACACACATACATATCATATACATACACACCCTAACATCCCACAGCCCCACACATGCATACACACCCCACTCCCCACATACAAACCACAGGCATGCGCGTGCACACACACACACACACACACACAACACACACTGTTCTGACTTAGGGACTTTGTTTCTATGCTTATCCCCGTCCCCTCCTGCATTTTCATCTCTCTCCCTCTAGATGGGATCATCTGAACATAATGTGCTTTACCAGTTCCTGTTTAGTAAAGAGAAACAAACACACACTGCTGTCAGTCCCCACTCCTTTGCAGCTGCTAACCTTTTAATTAACATATTTGGTGGCTTTTACACCCAGAGTCACTTCCTCAACCCCAGTATCTTCTTCATCTATTGCAGCTGGGCTCCTAACCCCTCCCATGTACTACGGATAATCTTGGCCAAGCACTGGGGACCTTCTTGCTGGCCAGATTGATGGTCACCTTCCTGTCCTCATCTAACTCAGCCCCTGGGCGGTATTTCACACAATTGACCACATCTGGAACCATGTTCTTCTTGCATCTGTGAATCACGTAACAGCCTCCTAACTGGCTCTCTCACTTCCACTCTTGCCCCCCCACGATGTATTCTCCACTCAGCACCAAAGAAGATGTTTTAAAAATATAAGATCCCATCCCTTCCCTGCTCAAAATCCTCCAATAGCTATCCACTGCACTTAAAATAAAATTCATGCTTTCACTCATGACATATCTATCCAAAACGTACGGCATGATCTGGCCCGTCTGCTTCCATCACCCTCCTCCTTGCTCCCTCTGCTCTGGCCACGACTGTAGTTTTCTTCTGCTTCTCACACACATGCCATCCTTACTCCTACCTCAGGACTGTCACTGTCCAGAGTTCCTCTGTCTGGAACGTACTTTCCACACTTCAACACGACGCATTCTCTTCCTCACTGAGAACAGTTTCTGCTCAAATGCCACCTATTCAGAAAGGTCTTCCTAACCCCCCTATTGAACAGGGCCCTCTGTACCCCTTCTCCCTCTCATCCCCAGTTCAATGTCTTCTTCCCCTGATTATTTACCACTTAGTCCCTAGTGCTGCTTTCAGTCCTATCACTCTATTAGTTTGCTTGTTTACATTTTATCTTCCCCATTAGAATGTAAGAAAAACAGAGGAAGAATGCACCCGTGACTGAAGGGCAGTGGATGGGGTAGGAGGTAGGGGTAGGAGGAGGCAGCACAGGTTTGGTCATATTTGAGAGGTGAATAAATCTCTTCTCTGGTGGCGGAGCAGTTAAAGCCTTCAGTTGCCAACCAAAAGGTCGGCAGTTTGAATCCACTAGGAGAAAGATGAGGCAGTTTGCTTCTGTAAATGCTTACAGCCTTGCAAACCCTACAGGGCAGTTCTGCTCTGTCCTAAAGGGTTCCTATGAGGCAGAATCAACTCGATGACAGTCGTTCCCCTCTCCCCCCCAAATAATTGATCCTTTACACTCAAGGCTATAAAATACAAAGATTTTTGTAAACATGAGACATAATGGCCTTGGTAGAAAATGAAAATAAATTCAGTAATTTTAGTCAACATGGTAAAACATACCCTTCTCCTGATGGAAGAAGCTGTTTGTGAAGACAGGGGAGTCGGGCATGGGGGGCAGAGAGGGGCAGGGGGTGGAGCTCCGGGACAAGCAGCTGCCCCCTGTGCTGCCATGGCTGCTCCCAAGCCTCATGAGCCAGTGATCAGAGAGGGAGGAGCTTGTGGAACCTGCAGAGAAACACAGACAGGGAAGGCTGGACCCAACTCCATTGCTTCATGGTCTGAGAGGAGCTTTTCAAGGCCATGCCTGCCCGTTCCCCCCCAGCTCTGAGCAGTGGGACAGAAAGAACCACAGCAGAATTCCATAAACAACAGGTGTACCTGTGATGAACAAAACCGCCGGGCGGTGCAAATGATTAACACGCTCAGCTGCTGAGCCAAAGGTTAGACGTTCCAGTCCACCCAGACGCACCTCAGAACAAACGCGTGGCAACCTGCTTCCAAGAACTCAGCCACTGAAAATCCTACAGAGCACAATTCTACTTTGACACACATGGGCTGTCGCCATGAGTTAGAGTTGACGCCACAGTAACAGGTATAACTTGTGACTGACTGCTCATGTGACCAAGCTTAAAAATGGAGGGAAGGCATTTGGGCACAGAAGGGAAAGTATGTTGATGAGTCCTGAAATGCTTTTCATGAAATTATTTGTTACCAACAATAAATACAGTATATTATCTATTTTCCTTTCAACATTTATCTTCTACAAAAGCAAGCTAGACTTTGCATTAGCTTTCCTTCAGACTTGCTAGAGAATCTTGGTTTCATTTTACTATTTTCCAAAAATTTGGAGGGAGAAAAACCTAAGTAGTAAAAAAAAGAGAATGTTCTCTCATCCCAAAGATAAGAGTGGCTGGTTTCCAGAGTGAAATAAGTCACATAATAAGGTCAAGTTGGACTTTTTTTTTTTTCCACTAGACTTCCAGCCAAGGTTTAATATCATATTCCAATAAAAGCATCATTGGAATGTGGTCAAGCAGCTACAAACTAAAACCAAACCCACTGCCATTGAGTCGATTCCAGCTCATAGCAACCCCAGTTGGGTTTCCGAGGTGGTAAATCTTTACAGAAGTAGATTGCCCCATCTTCCTTCTGCAGAATGGCTGGTGGGTTTGAACTGTCAGCCTTCTGGTTAGTAGTCAAGTGCCTCAGGCACTATGCTACCAGAGCTCCTTCATGTTTGACTGTGCTCCATAGGGTTTTCAATAGCTAATTTTTCAGTAGATTGCCAGGTCTTTCTTCTGAGGCACCTGAGTGAACCTGAACCACCAACCTTCTGGCTGGCAGTTGTGCCTGTTAACTGTTTGTACCACCCAGGACTCCTAGGTTCATACTGCATAAATTTAATTAAATCTGACTTCCCATGTCTAAGACTGGGAATACAGAATTCCCTACTGCCAAGTGTCATCTGCCCCAGGTATGAACAATTATTCTTTTTCTTTTGGATTTCAATATGTCTACCCCACATCCTTATAAACAGGATACTAGTCTGTGGCACTCAGATCTCTATAGCAACAACCAGGCTTCCACTTTCTGATCCTTCCCTATCTCTCCTCCTTCATGTTTGACTGAGCATCGTCCCAATTCTGAATGTGATTTCCCAGTGCTCTCTCTTCTGAAACAAGCAGCAGCACCCACCTCTCATGGAGCTGCTGGCCGACCAGGGAGGGATGCTGTTCCGCTTTTGATAAAAGAGAATGTAAGCCCCTCGGGTATTGACCTCATCCTCTCGAAGTGGCTCCACTGTGCTGTCGTCATAACTGTACCACTGGCCATCCAGAGAGTTCCGGCAGTAGGCTGCAAAGGCCCAAACCCCAAGTCTTAATTATCGGAGCCCCAAAAGGCAGGAAGACATTTCCCAGTGGCATAGACAGAAGCTGGACCTGCTTGTAATGGAATGAGAAAAATCAGCCCATTTGTGGCCATAAATGAATTTTGTAGAATTAGAAATGATCAGTAAGTTGCACTCCCAGATTCTCACTGATACACTGATAATATACCACCTTATTCTATTGTTATTTTAAATTAAATCCTTATTTTGCAGCTCTTGCTCAGGCAAAATCTCCAATAATAGGGAATGCCAAGTTATTTAGCCAGAAATAATGTCAACATTCCCATTTCTTCTGAGAAACTTCCAAATGCATGTCTCTGATTAAGTATGTAATCAAGTAGATCACAGTACACTTAAAATATTATGAAGTGTTTTTAAAATGGTGGAATCATCTATGTTATTCTAGAACAGAATAGACCAGGGTATGTCAAATGTAGTAAGATTAACTACTCTTGAACTTTTGTTTAGTCTATATATATATGTATGTGTGTGTATTGAGGTAGTCCTTGACTGTGTGTTGTGTGTGTATGCATATGCATGCGTGCACATCTTATCATTTGTAATATGTGCTACATAAAATCTTGCAGCATAAATTGCTGATGGTATCATTCTCAGATGTTCACTCACAGATGCTCAATGTTATGATATACAACCAACTTAAAATGGAGCCATTGGAACAGAACCTCATCATAAATTGAGGACTATCTGTGTATGTTTATCTATATAAACTCACACACACACACACACACACACACAAAAATGGATGTACATTCTGGGTCATGATGTAGCACAGTGAGTCAAGATATTTAGTCAACTTTTTTAGGTAGGTGGCACCATAATGTTAATTGACTTCATTTAAAGTATTTTAAATTTATTTATGATGTGTTAAATAGGAGAAACATTAAAAACAAAAATATATCTATGGTATGATAACAGTTATGAAAACTACATGGCACATGGAAGCTACTAATTGGTGAAGGCCGACAGTGTGAAAAGCCACTGACAGCTGTTAGGTTTAATCATAAACATCCCCTAAGGCAGGTACATGTTGCAGAATGACTGCCTGGTACCTACATGAACAAGATAGTAGTAGAGAGAGCTGCTAGACATGGAAGAGCCACTTGCGTTACAGAAAATTCAGTTACATTTCATACACCCTAGAGGTTGAAGTCTGAGATCCACACCTACTACATTCGCATCTGCAGATTCTGCCCTGGACTGCAAAGGATAAATCCTGATGGCCTGGATTGTTTTAAGAAGGCACCATGCAGCTACCTCTCTTGGTTAACACACACTCCCCTTCAGCATAGGCTCTGGTCTACCTGAGGTCCTACCAATGGCTAAAGGCAAACCTCAGAGTTCCCAACTTCTGGTCCATGAGGGAGTAGAAAAGACCAGAATCAGGAGCTGTGGAAGAACTGGACAATCACACAGCAGCCCGAACCAGCTGCCTATGGAGTGAGACCTGCTGTTGTCTCACTGGCCCAGCATCATTCCATCCTCCAAACACCTCATGCCCACTCGTGTGGTCCCTGCCTGGTACTACATTCCTCCTTTCTCTCTCCATGGATGTCTGTACTCTCTTCCATTGGCAGGGACTATGTCCAAACCTCTCAGAATCCTAAGGACCTGTCTCCACTACAATCTACACAATAGTTATATTCAGTTACTATTTGCTGCTGCAGTTCTCATGCAGCCTTTCCATTATCATTTCACTGCATGGGTGGAAAAGAAACAAGGAGTAACATAATGGAGAAAAACAGCCAGTCATCATGCTTTATCTGGGGTTAAAAGAATAATTAGGAACAATTGAGAGCACTGCTCAACTATGGGGTTCTGTCCTTCCACTAGTCAACTGCTCTAAAGTGCCCCAGAGGGATTAAACTTACCCCACAGAATAATTAGAATAAACCACCACCCATCCGTCAGTCTGTGGGACTGTGGTGGCCTGCCTGTGCCTATGATGCCGGAAACTCTGCCAATGATTTTTCAAACACCAGCCGGGTCACCATAGTGGACAGGTTTCAGCAGTTTCCCAACTAAGATAGACCAGGAAGAAAGGCCGGGGATCTACTTCTAAATTAAGCCACAATGAAAACCCTACACAAACAAAATATGCACGAACTGTTGCATGTACAATGAATCTGCTTTGTAAAATTTCACACAAGTTACCATAAAAAGTTTAAAAAATGAAGAAAAAAGAAAACCCTATGGTATAAGATGAACAACTGCACCAGGAAGATGCATTCCTTAGAACAATCAACCATGGGAGATCAGAAGGGCAGCATTTGCACAGGGAGAAAACTAGGCAGGCAGGAATGTGTAGGCAAGAAGGACACAGGGAAAAGGTCACCATACGGAGGAGGTGGGAAGAGAGCTGCTACCTTGTGGGGATTACAATCACTATCACAAAATAAAATATGTGTGAACTGTTCAATGTAAAACAAATCTGCTTTGTAAAATTTCACCTGAATCTATTAAAAAACAAAACAAAAACCTATGGATGCTCTGGTGGTACAGTGCCTAAAGCATTTGACTGCTAACCAGAAGGTTGGCAGTTCAAACTCACCACCCTCCATGGAAAGAAGATGTGGCAATCTCTTTCCGTAAAGATTTACCACCTCGGAAACCCAATGGGAGTTGCTATGAGTCAGACTCAACTCGATGGCAGTGAGTTTTTGGTCTCATGGATCACTACAGAATATTCCCATATAGAGCTAGAAGATGAGAGCCCTAAGTTGGAAGGTAACAATGGACTCAAGCATGCGGGCAATCATGAAGTAAGCAGGACACCAGACTGTGGCACATGGGGTCACCAAGAATGAGAGCCAACTCAGTGGCAACTAACAAGAACAACATAAAATAAAACATATAAAATCTGATAAGTAAGTCTCCTTGCACTGAATCATGGATGACAATAAATGTTATTCTCTCAGCTCCAACAAATAAAATCTAAAATTTGAGCTGGGAGATTGGAAGATGGCATTGTACCTATAGCCCAAACGTTTGTTCCCTCTAGCATCTTAATTCCTGAAAAACTAGGTGCAGCAGTTTGAAGCAGGTATTCTGGGGCTTGAACAACTCATTAAGTTAGAGAAGGCCAGATTTAGTGGAGAAGGAGAAAAAAAAAGCAGAGTAAACAGCCAGGAAAAGGTCTTTGCCTATTTTGAACCGTGGGTCTGCGAGTGACAATGTCATCATTGGTAGCCATCCTAAGAAGACTCAAAATAAAACCCCAGAACCAGTGGTAATTATGGAAATGCAGAAAGTAGGGACTCACTAGTGGTTCTTTTTTTTTTTTTCTTTTCTTCCTCTTTTTTTCTCCTTCTCCCCGGCCTCACCCAATAGAAGAACCACATTAAGTCACTACAATACCTGCTTGTCCCAACTCTAAATCTCCTTCATGACAAACAGAGACCTGCATCCATATTCCCTATAGTGATTACATCAACACAAAGAAAACTGCAGAGCAACCCAACACTCCTGAATTAATAACCAAAAAAGTAAAATATACCTTGAAAATATATTTAAATATAAAATCAAGGTGAAACAAATCAATACATAGATAACAGTTAAAGACAACAACCTCAAAATTTCTAGGAAACAAGAGGCAACCTAAACAAACAAACAAAAAAAACCAAACAGGACAAGACAATAGAAATAAAACCCTAGAATAAAAATTCATTTACATGGAGGGAGAAGAGGAAATAGAATTATCCAAGAAGGAATTTAGAAGATATGTTTATAGAACTCTACAAGAGCTCAAGGAAACCATAAACAGAACCAAGGAGAACACAGACAATAACCTGGAAGAATTCAGGAAGGCCATTCAAGAACAAAATAACAAGATTAATACACAAACAGAACTCATACAAAAACAGTTAGAAATCCAGAAGATAGGCACTAAAATTATAGAGTTACACAACACAGTTACACAACACAGTGGAAGCACAGAAGAATAGACTAGAACTGACTGAAGAACGAATTTCCAACTATAAGATAAATCCCTTGACACCAGCCAGTATGAAGAAAAGTCAGAACAAATATTTAAGAGAAATGAAGAGAACCTAAGAATTATATTGGATGACATGAAAAGAAACAACATACACCTCATTGGAATACCAGAACAAGAAGAGGCAAAAAAAAAACAAAAACAACAACAACAAAAAAAACCCCAAAAAAACAACCAAAAAATTGACTGAGAAAATTGTAGAAGACTTGCTAACAGAAAATTTCCCCTATAACATGAAGAAAGAAAAGATATTTGTCCAAGCTCAATGAACCCCATACAAGATAGAGCCTGGGAGAAAGTCACCAAGACATATCATAACCAAACTCTCCAAAACCAAAGACAAAGAAAGAATCTTGCAAGCAACCCAGGAAAAAAGAAACGTCACCTACAATGGACAAACAATTAGACTCAGTTCTGATTACTCAGCAGAAACCATGCAGGCAATAGGATGGCATATATAAAACACTGAATGAAGGAAAAGAACTTCCAACCAAGAATTCTATGTCCAGCCAAATTGTCCATCAAATATGAGGGTTAAATCAAGACATTCTCAGACAAACAGAAATTAAGAGATTTTGTGAAAACCAGACCAACCATATAAAAAATGCATAAGGAAGTCCTTCCAATAGAGAACCCACAACAGAAAACAACAAATTAAAATCAGGACATGAGACATCAACACTAAATCCAAATCAGAAACAGATACTCAAAATAAGCTCATAAAACACTGTATACAAAGAAAGAAGGGAGCCAATCTGCAGACGAAACCAGCAACAAAGCAAATAGAGGGAAAAAAGTTCCAAGTACAAAACTTCCAAATAAAGAGGAAGACGGGACAATGTCCTTACAGAACAGACTGTTCCAAAATTGCTCCAAGGTAACCACAGAAAAAATTAACAATCCCCCTAAGTAAATCCAGAAAGAATGAAAACATACAGGCTTAGTAAACACAAG